TTCTTGTTTTTTTAATGGAGTCAGGGGCTGCTATGTTGATCAAGCTTTTTTTTTTTTTTTTTTTTTTGAGACTGTCTTGCTCTGCTGCCAGGCTGGAATACAGTGGTGCAATCTCGGCTCACTGCAGCCTCCGCCTCCCGGATTCAAGCGATTGTCCTGCCTCAGCCTCTGAATAGCTGGGACTACAGGTGTCCACCACTGCACCCAGCTAATTTTTGTATTTTTAATAGAGACGGAGTTTCACCATGTTGGCTAGGCTGGTCTCGATCTCTTGACCTCATTATCTGCCCGCCTCGACCTCCCAAAGTGCTGGGATTACAGGCATGAGCCATCGCACCCAGCCTTGCCTGAAACTTTCTATGTCTGCCTCCCAAAGTGCTAATATTACAGGCATGAGCCACCACGTCCAGCCTGTTATTCTTAACATACTTACTGTTGTCAGACCTGTGGACTGAATCTGGAAGCATTATTTCAGGTGGCTCGTGGGTCAGAGTGTTGGAGTCTCAGTGGGCCCATGTCTTTGGTGGATTGATTACTGGTCTTTCTTTTCCAGTCACACTCTGGACTCAGTGAAATTGTTGCTGTTACTTTCATGAAATTTACATATGGAAAGGCAGTTGTCATCTAGCCAAAGAGGTTTATGTATAGACTTAGAGAAAAAGAGAAAGTACTGCTTGAGACTAAGTTACTTTATGTAACTGGAAAATAAGACAAACTTGAGGTAACCAGGTACCCTGAATATGTTCCAAATGTAGTCCAGTGAAATATTATAGGGTTGGTACTACACTTAGCATCCAAAGCTGCTTGTACAGTCAAGAAGAAGGATGTATGCAGGGCTGAGAAAATTATTAACCTTTACAAGAAATGATTTTGTATATCTGAGCAAGAATTAAAATGAAATTCAGGAAATGTAGAAGCCAGGTTAGATAATTGTGTCAATGGAGTAAAAAACAAAGTATAGAAACAAGTGAAAGTTTTTAGAGACCTGAAGCTATTAGAATTAATTCTAGCCAAGGACCTGGAATCTGGCCAAAATACATTACTTTATCTTCACATTTGTTCTCTTGCCTGTGATTTTTTAAAACACAATTCTTTTTACAAGAGAAAATGTTGTCTTTTTAAAACCTGATATGGCTAGAAAATAATAAAACTGACATTAAAAAATAAGAAAACAATAAAACTGGTGGTTACACAAGAAGGAGCTCTCAATTGGTAATTTTATTTTCACCTAGCTCACATTCTGTTTCCAAAAGACGGCACAAAAAATTCCTCTTGCAGGAATTTTTCTCTGGGCTCTGGCAGTATTCATGATCTCTTCTCTAGAAGAGAAAAAAAAAAAAACCTCTCGTTTTAGAAACCGTCAGATACAAAGGAAAAAGTGAGGCGATTTCAGCTCTTCAGACTTAACACCAATTCTCTGTCCTTTTATGCAGGGAAGAAAAGAGTCTTGCCCTAATTTGGTATTGGTCCTGCCTTTTCCATAAGAAAAGTGGGAACCCTGGACTTTGTTTTTACTAACTTA